GTCTCAGCTGCATAGCTATTGATTATGCGTCTCTGGGCCGTGTGGCAACCAGCGAGCGTGATTTGGGCCCCGTTTCCAATTGGAACTCCCTTGCCCACAGCACTTACCTTACCCAATAGCTAAGCTTTTAGGCCCATGTCGCCGTGTTTGCTTTTTGGCCAGGCCAAATATGTGCCAATGGCATGACACCAATTTTCATACGATGGGCGTCTTTGTTTAGAGTTCAGCTTGCAGCAGCGGCTCAAGCTGACCCACTTGACTTCGGCTTTAACTTGTGCTTAGAGCCAAACGTTTTGACCTTTTTGCCACTGGCCAAACAATCGGCAATTTAACAATTGGTAGCAATTCAAATAATTGGCACAACTTTGTTCAAATTGTTGTTTATTTTAAAAGCGAGTTTGTTTCGAGTCTGTACACTGGAAACAMAAGWGGGCAAACAAGTTGTAAGCTGAAAAGAAAATGCTTTTGAGAAGATTTCTTTTAAGTGGGCACATGGGTATAGTAGAATATATATATAAATATTTTATATATTCTTTTTGATTGCCCTTCTATATAAATCGATATCATGTTAGATTAAGTTGAGCTTAATTAATAGTTATGTAAATTTTAGGATACTTCTCTGTCTATATAGGAATAGCAGATGGATAAATTTAGTGGGTTGGAGCTTATAAGGAAGAGCCGATTGTCTTAAGCCCAAGTGCTTAAGCAAACGGCAAGTCCTAAGCTCGACTCAAAACCCATATCTTATACTTAAATAGATCCACATACAAGTCAAAGCTATTTTCATATAGTCTTCAGTTATCCACACAACAAATCCAATTTGTTTAATTGACCAGTTTAAATTTGCAACTTTTCATGATTAACTTCAAAATTATGCTTCAATTTTTTTACATATAGTATAAAGTTGTATCTCGAAATTCATTTGTGCAATGCTGTAATTTAAGCATTTGTGCGAATGCATGCATTAAATTAAGCATAGGCTGACATTTATTTATGCGCAACTCGTCAGCGTCACAAACGAGCAGATGCAACAACAGCGATAACGAACAACAACAGCAACAGCAACAAATGACAAATGACAACGAGAGAGGCAACTTTATGTTTATTTTGATTGTCGTCGTCGTTGTTGTTGTTGTTGCTGTTGTTGCTGCTGCCATTGTTGTCATCAATTTGTGATTTTGTGCATTAGGCATTGTTTTATCTTCACTTTTATACATGTTTTATGCAAACGAAATTCATTTGCTTTTAAATTATGCGTGGAAAACAACTAAAAAGTTGAAGAGTTGAACATACGCACGCAATCTATGCGCAACGCTGCGTATACGCAATGCGTTGTATCCGCATCTCCAGCAACTGTTGCTGTTGCTATTGATGTTGCGCAGCGATTGCTGCGCATTTAAAATGCATTTATCTCAATTACGAAAAGAAAAATATAAAAATAATATGTACAAAAATTGCTTGTTTGCAGCAACGAATAAACGAAACGTAGCAAACGTAGCAAACGAGCAACGCATTGTTTGCAACAACAACAGCAACAACAATAGCAACAGCAACAAGAGCAACTTTCACTAGGCAACGCGCAAAACTAAAACAAAGTGCACATGCAGATAAAACGGCCAAAAAACAAAAGCAAAAGAAGGGCGCAATAAAAAGCCAAAAAGCAACCTCAAATAAAAGAGGAGCAGCCACAACAATTGTTAATTAAAACAAATAAACTGCCAGACATTAAAAACCAAAGCAGAAGAGGCAACACCAAAATGAATGTGAATTATGCGTGCAGCAGAAGTGTGAAAGAAAACGGCAAAAGAAAGAGCACAGCGAAAGGCAAACAACAAATAAAAGATATATATATAGAAATAAAGCAGAGAGAAAGGGGGGAAGAGAGTGAGGCAAAAAGAAGTAAAGCCAGTTTCCGGCGTCCTTCACAAGGCCGTTGCAATAATTGCTGATGCGGCAGCAGCGTCTTGCTCATAATGAGGCATCACAAGATGATGATCATCATTATTAGCATTGCGAAGCAGCAACAGCAGCAACAGCCGCAGGTGCTGTTCGCATTTCGAACGCATTTTATTTTATTTTTTTTTTACATAACATTTTTTTTCTTTGTGTTTATCAATTTTGGCCAGTGGCATTGCTCAAGCATGGCTGAAGCATGGTATTTCAGTAGCTGTTTCAGCTTCTTCTTCTTCGATTTTTGCATATGGTTTTTCAACACTGAAAAGTTGTTAGTTGATGTTATTTATTAGCCCGATTGCATCACACGAAATGCGCATTAAATCGTGTAGCTCATATTGTCAATTTCGCAACTCTATATATATATATCGGTTTATCTATGTCTATATACATATAGTATATTCCTATATACATCTGTTTACATGGCTTACATGCTGACAAACCAGTTATCAGGCCTTGCAGATTTCATAATCGCACAAAATCTATTAGCAGCATGCCTCAAGTCGTCCGGCAGCCCGCAGCAGCCCAATGTGTTAAAATATTATGCAAAACCATCTTTATGGGGAAGTAAATAGCAAACGTCTGGTCACGTTTCGTACAACGCTTCCTGTTGGCATTAGCTGACTCGCAGTCTGCCTGCCTGAGCCTGGCGTCTTCGTGCCTGCAGACTCTACCCTCTGACACAGACAGACACGACGACTCTATGAAAAATCTCTTGACTTGGCTACGCTAGAAATCAAGTTCAAAATGTCAAGTTTGTGTGGTTGCCGCGCAACGCCCCCACCAGAGGAAGCCTTTAGCTTAACAGCAGCACATGCAACAACTGCAGCGACAATAACAGCAACAACAACAACCACGGCAGCTGCTCGCGTGGTGCTTGAACTCGAAATGAAAGTGAAAATCCGCTGGCAGCGACGACTGCAGCAGCGCTGCGCAGCGCAGCGCAGTTGAGCGCAAAAAGTTGCAAACTCTTACTTTCATAGCTGTTGTTGTTGTTGCTGCTTTGTCTTTGCTGCTTCACTGACCACACCAACAACAACAACAACAACAGCAACAACGAAGAACGCTGCAGTTAAGGCAAGGCGACTGCATGATGCTCTGACTTTTTACTTTAGATAAAGTATTTACTACGAAGATGATAAGCATGTTAAAAAATATGAAGGCTAAGTAAGATAAAGACTTAAACTGTTTTATTTATAAAAGCTTTTCACATTCTAAATATTATTTTACTGTTTATTATATTTGACTGGAAGGTTTCTTATAAAATGAATATGTGAATGCTTTAAAGGGATTATTATATTGTGATAACTGAAAAATATAGATATTATATTATATTGTTTATTATGAGAAGTGAGAAACAATATCCTAATGCCATATTTAACAAAACAGTTGGTTTTTGTTTTCTTTTAAAAAATTAATTGAAAAAAATATATTAAATATATCCATATTTATTATTAATATGCTGATACTTATTTATAAGAAAAAGAACATATTAGGTATTTTCTGATTAGAAATATATCGTAAATCTATACTAAGGGTAATTGAAATTTTAATTTTTTAATATTTTATTTTTTAACGATGTTATATATGATCTTAAAAATTATTTTTAATTTTTATAAATCCGATTAAAATTCTTCAAACTAAATTAGAGCAAAACAAACATAAATAAATAAATAAATAGAAAAGATTAAATAAATAAATAAAAATTTTTTTTTTAATTGCAACCTATTAAATATAAATATATATATGGGAAATAGCCTGACTGAAATATTTTATTTTTCCTAAAGCAGGAAAACAACTTACAACGAAATTACAAGCCCATAACAATAAACAATTGCAAACTTCGTTAATTGGCATTTAGTTACTTTAATTGTCTTCATTAATTAATTTAGTTTATGACGCATACAAATCGCATTTGTTTCGATTTGAGTTTAACAACCATTGTGAGGCGAATTTCATGTGGAAGCACAATTGAAAATTTGGCAAATTATTTATGCATGGGATCATGTGGTTAAGCTGCTCAAATTAATGTAAATGCCTTGGACTTTCCACTAAAGCGCATTGGCCAAGCGATTGCCGTTTGGCTTTGCTTTTATTGCGCTTTTCATTGCAGTCATTCATTTCCTTCTATCGTTAAACGTAAAAATAACTTTTCAGAAAACACGAAAATGAAAAACAAAATATAAAAGCAACAATTTTGCCGCTTTCCAGTTGTGCAGCGACTTTTATTTTGTTAACTGGTTTCGCAAAGTTGTTGCCAAAAGTCAGCTGCTGCTGCGCCTGCTGCTGCTGCGGTTTCTGACCGAGGAAACGCGTGATGCTACTGCTGCTGCAATCAGCTGCAGCAGCGGGAGGACCAACAGCAGCAGCAGCAGCAGCACCAGCGTAAATTGGTAATTTGCAATTAATTTGTTGGCGGTTTAATGCGCAAATCGTTGATTAAAACCGCCAGATGAAAGCTAATGCTGAGCGCTTAGGCTGTGGCTAATGGTCTGACACGCCCACTATAATATGCCCCCCGTCGACCATGTGTCCATCAATATGTTGCTTATAACACACCCACAATTTAATGTCATGCTCAAGGCAATTTAATGGCCAAAATGCCAGCCCGTTTTCTTTATATATATTTATTTACGTTTTTTCTCTCTCTCTCTCTTCTTCTTCTTGCAGGCAATTAAGGAAGTAATTTGTGGCCAACGCTGTTGTTGCTGTTGGTAGTTGTTGGTGTTGCCGTCTCCTTCTCCATCTCCCTCTCTCTTCTTCTCTATCTCTATCTCCCTTGTTGCAAGATCATCAGCCAGAGCCAGCAGCCGTCATGAATGCAGCCACATGAAACGTCGGCTGTTGAAGCGTCAACAGCAATTGCCATAATTGCCATTGGAGCAGCAAAACACACACACACACGTACACACACATACGTATATTGTTGCCAGCAACGCGGCAGGCAAGCAGGAGTCCAATAACCTCACCAACTGCTGAAACTCGCCACACGAGATATTCGCGGCAGGCACAAAATCGAAAACCAATTGCCAGCGGTAGTGGCAGCAGCTCCTTCAACTGAATTGTAACACAGCGTCAAAAAAAAAAAAAGCGTGGAGCATCGGGCGCCGGAAAATCCCCAAAGCCAAAAAAACACAATAACAACAACAACAAGAGGCAAAGAAACCAGTGGAGCGGGGATCAATGAACGCGGCACGCAGCAGCTGCGAGCAACAACAACAACAACAGCAGAAGAAGAAAAGCGAAACGGGCCAGCAATTGGCTTCAAGTTCAAAATCGCCATAACAACAGAAGCAGCAGCAGCAGCAGAAGCAGCAGCAGCAGGAGTAACAGCAGCAGCAGAAGCAGCAATAGTTGCAACTCCAACAGCAACAAGCAGGAAGTTGCGCAGCTGCACCTTAATTGGGCGCAGTGTCATTACCACCACCACCAACACCACYACCACCACCACCACACGCGCTCATCCCCGCTCAATGTAAGATGTTAGTGGCCAAACACCAACACAATACCAAAACCAAAACCAACAGCAACAGCAATCGCAGCAACAGCAACAGTTGCCCGTGCAGTTGGCAGCTCAGCCTGCTCATTAGCTGTCTGCTCTATGCCGGTCAAGTTCAGGCGATCGGCGGCGGTGCGCAGAGCTCAACGGCATCGACGGCGGCGCTGCTAACGGGCCATCAGCTGGCGCCGTGGCAGACCACCGCCGCCTTTGCCACCCACACAGCAACAGCGGCAGCAACTGCGGCGCCCCCCGCCAGGAATCTCTATGCGCCCTATCAGACCTTCAGCAAGCAGGACGACATCAGCTTCAAGGATGTGCGACAGCGCAACGATGGCAGTGTAGTGCAATCCTTTGGCTCCTATCGCACGGCGCGACAATCCACTGCAACTGCCACTGCAGCTGCCCCCGCCCAGCGTCGCTCCGATGTCGAGATCATACCGGCGCCCAGTGTGGAGCTGCCCCAGAGTGACCTGATCACCATACCCAAGCAGCTGGTGCCCACGCTGCCGGAGAATGTGACGCGACAGGGACGCCGACGCAACTACATGTACATCCCATTGCAAACGGAGAGCGATGCGAGTAGCTCAGCCTCGCTGCTGCAGCTGCGGCCCAGTCGCAATGCCACGCTATCCGCGCTGGGTCCCCCAGCCGAGGGCATTGCTGCAGTCGCTCATGAATTCAGCGCTGAGCTGGCGGCTCATGCAGCAGAGCACCAGCACCAGCACCAGCAGCAGCAGCAGTCGGTGCGCACGGAGCGCAGTGACCTGGTAGCTGCGGCCAGCACCACGGACAAGCTGGAGTATGCCGAGCCGGAGCACACGAGCCGTCGCGTGGGCTTTCAGTTTCCCAGCTACAGCCTGAAGCCGGCCAATCCCTTCTATCCACAGGGCTATCGTGAGGACAGTCCCATTTTCGAGGAGAGCAGCGCCGGTGGCGTCGGTGGCTTGCCCTTCACCGAGGATGCCGCGCCCACACAATATGAGCACGAGTCGCGGCATACGCGTCAGCTATACTTCGACTCGGATGGCTCGCCGTCCAGCTTTGAGTTTCCCGGCCTGGTGGCCAACTCGAAGCCTCACACACTGAACGCCGCCGTCGCAGCTGGCAAACTTTATCGAGATGATGTGACCAAGTTTGGAGACATCAATGGACCCATTACTGCACTGCCAGGTCGCTTGCAGCGCGGCCTCTACTTTGGCGACACGGAGTTCCGCACCGGACCCAGTCCCATGCGTCAGTTTGGACCGCAGAAGGCCTTCAATGAGTACGTGGCGCCCGGCGACTATCAGAGCTCGCGCAAGAGTCGCTACTTCCCCTACAAGTCGTCGCGCAGTCCCCGCGTGGTCTTCCCCAGCAACGACAATGTGGGCACCACCGGACCCAGCGGCTCCAGCGCACCATCCGGCACGGGTGTCTACTTTAGCGATAATATTGCTTTCAGGTGAGTTGGCAAAAGCAATTAGTCAGTGTGGGAAAAAAAGCAAAAGAGCTGGGCTGCGATAGTGTGAGAATCGTGTGTGTGCGCTAGAGAGGCTGTCGAACTTGTTAAACGAAGCGGAATGTGAATAATCATCAAAGTGAGGAAATCATAAATAAGATAAATTCGATTTCTTCACTTTGAAATTTTCTTTCTACTCTGCATTCAACTGATATCTCCTCTCGTTCCACACAGAGATCAGAACTTTGGCATCAACGAACTGGCCGCCGTGCAGGATGTGCGTAACGATTATAGTCTACAGGATTTGGATAACGCTGCCGAGTCAACGAGCAGTCCACAGTCAGCCAGCACATTCAAGGAGAAGGGTAAGTGTCAGGGTCTGTAGCTGTACGGCCATTTGCTACTCTATTAGGTTAAGCTTCAGTTAGTGTCGCTGCTGGGAACTGCTTGCACTAGGCCTAATTGTCCCAATACGAACACTACCCAACACACACACACACACACACATAACCAGTTATATACATACACATATATATACACACACACACATAAACACATCACACATGTTGCTCATCTATACATACATGATATCCCCCCAACCATTTGACAGTCGACATCACAACGGACATGGAGTGTCAGCACCGTGGCGGTACTTGCGAGTTCTTTTTAGGCTGCTGGCTATCTGGCGGCCTAATACAGGGCACCTGCAATGGATTGCTGCGCGGCTGTTGCCATCGCACGGCCAAATCGGCCAATTTACGCAGCTCGGACTATGTGGGCAATACGGTCGATCTGACCGATCTACCGCAAAAGAACTTTGGACCGGTCAACAACGAACCCAGTGAGTGTGGCTGCCTCAACAAAAACAAAACCAACAAATTAAAAAAAACCAACTACAAAGTCCATGCACGTGCACACTAAAAAACAAACAACAATTTTGATTACACTACGGTTCAGCTTGCCTTTTGGACCAAATGGCAAAAATTATATAAAATAATGAAATGTATAAAAACTTTGAGAAGCAACTTCGGCTTGCCGAAGATGAAATATACTTGCAGAGGAAAGTGTTGGAAGAGCTATAGACATAGTTATTGATATTAGGCTAATATTAGGCTAAGCAATATCGAGGAAAGTTTTAAAGAAATATTTGTAAAATGTATGGCTAAACTAAATAGATTTGTCTGGAAAGTCTTATTGATGCTTACCAGTGATATAATTAAAAGAACTTACAGATATATGTATATGCTTGATATATATAAAATTTATATTTCATACAGAATATAAGATGTATAAATAAAATAAGAAGTTAAATGTGTCAAACATAAATTAAATAAAATATAGAGAAATATTTATACACATATATTCAGACAATGGAGTTAACTGTCACAAATTTAATTAATTATTTCTATTAATTAATAGCTTTTTTACATTTTGTCAAATATACTTTTACTTTTCAACCTTTAAAACTTGCTTTAAAACTTGTGAAACAATTTTTAAAAATATATATATAATTTTAATTAGTAAATATATTAGTTTTTTAAATACTCTGCAAGTATATTGTTAGAATATTAATGAATATTTCAATTTGCATGTCTAACAAAAAATATTTAGCTGTAGTGATTGCGTTTGCTTGCTTTATTTATTTTCGTTGATGTTTTAAATTTTGGTTTAATTTTTTGTTGTATTGTATCTATTTGTGTCTTGCACATTGTGCACCGTATTCGTAGTTATGTTTGTTAAAAGTCGAGTGCTTAATTATTGCGGAAAAAGACTAAGAAAAAGCAAAATCACTAAAACGCCTTGCACCAAAAGCTTGAAGCGGGATATGAAAATGCCGCCGCGTGCAATGGGGAAAGAGAGGAGGAAACTGAGGAACTTTACAACTGCCCAGCATGTGCATGTGTTAATTAGGAGAGTTAATGACAACTAAGCCAGTTTTAAAACATCATTTAACGGCATGCCCCGAAAGTGAGCTTCAAGTGCCACCCAGAAAAAAAAAAGAAAAACCAAAAAAAAAAAAAAAATAAGCAAACCACACCACAGCGACTAGAAAGTTAATGCTTCATCTCCCGCACGTATCACCCCCGCCTCCTTCCCATCTCACACACACACACACAGCAAACGAACCAGCAACAACGAATTGCGGGCAGTTCCAAGCGGCGTTCATATTTTTGGCTTCATTTTTGGTTGCAAGTTCCACCTGCCGCTAACGCTGAACTCGCTCGCTCTCTCTCTCATTCTCTCTCTCTCTTTCTCTCTATTTGTTTCTCTCACCCCGTTTGCCAGTTGCTACTAACTCTCTGTGCTGTTTTATTAGCGTTAACCTTTGAACTCTCTAACCCGTCACACTCTAACTGTCTGTCTGTCTCGTCTTGGTTTGCAGGCTGCGGCATTTCACTGGCCAAGCAGACCGCCCAGCGCCGCATTGTGGGCGGCGACGATGCCGGCTTTGGCTCCTTTCCCTGGCAGGCCTACATACGCATTGGCTCATCCAGGTAAGCGCACCACCACCCACCACCTCTTCTTCTCCTTGCCTCCACAAATTCACATTCGCTGTGCTGTTGCAGATGCGGCGGCTCGCTGATCTCACGTCGTCATGTGGTCACCGCCGGGCATTGTGTGGCACGTGCCACGCCCCGTCAGGTGCACGTCACGCTGGGCGATTATGTAATCAACTCGGCCGTTGAACCGCTGCCCGCGTATACCTTCGGCGTGCGCCGCATTGATGTGCATCCCTACTTCAAGTTCACGCCACAAGCGGATCGCTTCGATGTCTCCGTGCTGACCCTGGAGCGCACAGTGCACTTCATGCCACATATAGGTATATATAATATACTCATTTTTATCATCCACTGCATCTCTTGACCATCATCACTTCACATCTGCCACAGCGCCCATTTGCCTGCCGGAGAAGAATGAGGACTTTCTGGGCAAGTATGGCTGGGCCGCCGGCTGGGGCGCCTTGAATCCGGGCTCCCGCTTGCGCCCCAAAACTCTGCAAGCTGTCGATGTGCCCGTGATTGAGAATCGCATCTGCGAGCGCTGGCATCGACAGAATGGCATCAATGTCGTCATCTACCAGGAGATGCTGTGCGCCGGCTATCGCAATGGCGGCAAGGATTCCTGCCAGGGCGATTCCGGCGGCCCGCTGATGCATGAGAAGAACGGCCGTTGGTATTTGATAGGTGAGTGTCGAGTGGGTAATCTTAGTAGAAAAACTAATAACTTGAATATTTGCTATATTCCAGGCGTTGTCTCGGCGGGCTATTCCTGTGCATCGCGTGGACAGCCGGTGAGTTTTTGTCATAGATCACTGGACTATGCTCCAAGTCTATCCTCAACCTCAACTCAACTTGAGCTAACCTTGTCAAATTCCATCCTTGCAGGGCATCTACCATCGCCTGGCCTATACGGTGGACTGGGTATCCTATGTGGTTGGCCTGACAGTCAACATCTAAGCTATGCCACGCGTCTCTTATTTATTTGAAACCCAACGCTTCAGAGCTCCAGCTTGCAGAATGCTCTCCATCAAGTGGAGTGCAAACGTTTTGTACATAATTCACTTTCCCAGCTTCCGCATCTATCGACTTTTCGCATACTTTGTTTTTAATTCTTATTTATATATTTAATAATTTTCAAAAAAAAAAAAAAAAAAAAAACTTTTGCGCAGCGCAAAGAATGATTAGAAGGAGACGGAAACTGCGTATATTAGAGCCTAGGAATGACAACGCATATATCTCTAGCTGGGATATATATCTATGGGATATTCGATATGGGATATTCTGGTTAAGCGATTTTCAAAATACATTTTAAATTAATTATTAATTAATTGACTTAGTCATATGCGCTGTTACGTAATTTTAAACTATTTATGAACTAATTGTGTGTAAATAAATTATGTAAATGTTGAACAAAGCAAATAAAACAAAATCCAATCGATGTTTATTATTTTAGACCAGACATTTAGTTAACATGTAAAACGACAAATTGAGGCTGCAGCTACTCCCTAATTGTTGTATGTATTTATGGCTTGAATGGAAACGGAGGCATATATAAGGGCGAATAGGGAACGCCAGAGGCAAAGACATGCTCAGCATCCTGACAGAACTTTGCATTGCGTGAATTCTGCTCTTGCATGACGCGGAAGAGAGTAAAGACCTCATGATAGATTTTATAATAGAGCACTGCACCGGATTATTAATATATATAGGGATTATTAATATATATAAAGAAGACTTACCCAACACAAGCGTAAAGACCAACAGGCACATTAAGAAACTAGACAGGTCTATAAATAGGCCAGCCAGGGCGTAGAATATGCCGATGTAGAGGCCAAAGCCAAATGCAACGCCATGGAAAATCAACCAAGGGTACAGCGGGCCGCTCGAGTCCTGTGGGGAGCAAAGGAGGAGTTAGATAAAAGAAAACTTAAACAGAAGAGAATTCCTGTCGATTCCTATGCCTCTACCCCCATCCCACACTTACCCGAGCCACACCAATCAACAGGAGGAGGCTGACGCCCAGGTTAATCAAGGACATGCCGTAGGCGACTGTACTGAAAGCAGCCAGTACTAGGGATCAGGAATGTTGATGATATGGACATATTAAAGCACATCAAGCCACACCAATACATACGATTCATTAACAGCTGTATTTCCTTATCTGTTGCCTGCTGCAGCAGGATTTGCTTGACCAACACTTCGACATCGGCCTGCATATTGATGATCATCATGGAGCTGAAGATCATCACGCTCGATATGATGACGCCCAGCCAGCCTATGATAATGGCGTTGTACTTGAGATTCTGGCACTGCACATACGCAACGCTGCTGGCATGTGCGGCAACAAGTCCCTGGGTGGCAGCTTTGGCTGCTTGTGGGTTGCGGGCCATGGTGCAACAACAATCAATTTAAAATTTCGATTTCTATCTATATTAATTAATTTTAAAAAAAAAAAAAAAACTAAAAAAAATTTCTATAATATATATATACAGTATATCTTCTATGTATATATATATTTTCTACAACTATGAATCGAAACTAGAAAGAAATATTTCTATTTATGTGGGGAACTACTTCTAACTGAAGCAAAAAGGTGTTTGTCGAGAAGTTTGTGAGTTTCTGAAGTATTTGAGTATTTGATGTGTGATTTGTATTGTGTGCTCCTCTCGATTGTGTGACTATTTGACAACTAAGCGATACGCCTGCTGATCAACAAAATCAAACAAGGTAAACATATTTCATATGCAAATGCTGCAGAGCATCATCAATAAGACTTTGCGTTTTAGAAAGTTACATAAAAGAATGCTGCGCCCCTGCCCCTGCCCCTGCCTCAACCGACACGCAGTTAACCCAAAAAAAGTTGTATTAGCCAGAATTGCTCTCATTTCCTGCATGAAAATAGGTAAATATGTTGCATGCATATTTTGCAATTATGTCGCATAAAATAATTATTATTCAAACATTTCCTGCGTTTCGTAATAATTAGCCAGACATTGCATTTGAGAACTAGAGCCCAAGATCAAGATATGAAAGCATGTGTGTACGTGTGTGTGTGTGTGCTCAAGATGCCAACCAGTTGCTGAGAAGAAGCTCTCACAGCCAAAGCTAAAACACTTTGGCTACAGCTTGGCACCCAGTTTGATTCTGGCCAGCATTGCGTGCGGTTGTCGCTGCTGCCGCCGCCGTTTTAGCCAATTCTCGCGTCGCGCTTTGTGTGTGTGTGTGTTGAGCCATGCCACAATTGGCAGCATGTGTGAAACTCTGTGTGGCTGCAATTGAAAATTGTGCCAGCGCGTGATGCATTGACACAGTTATTATTTAAAAGAAGAAAAACCAAAATATATATAGAGGCGACCCATTTAGCCAGAGAACACGTTGCGACAAGGACGCAAGCGGCTTTGCATCTAGCCGCTAGCTGGGTGAATCATTCAACCCAGCAACAACAACCACAAAGAGTAGTAAAAGTGGAGCAGCAATAATAAGACATCTAAGTAGAAATAACAGCAGCGAGCTGCTAGCTCCAAATGGTAAAGCAGAAGATAACAACAACAACAGCAGCAGCAACAGCCACAACAACAGTAGCAACAACAACAACAACGACGACATAAAAGTGAATAAGAAATTGTCATGCTTTCATTAACAGCAACAATAGCGGCGACAACAGCAACAAATCAAAACACAAATTTAGCTGTCAGCAAATTGTGTTAAACGCCCACCGAAAACAGTGACTGTACTGTTAGTGTGTCTGTGTGTGCCTGTGAAGCGTACACGCTTAAATCGTGACTCGAAATGCGACGTTCATTTGGGTATTTATTGCTGCTGTGGCTGTGCCTGCTCCTCTGTCAATTTACGCTGCTGCAGGCGAGTAAGTAATTCGCAATCCTCAGCTAATCCTTGCCAGCGATAGTGATCCATATACTCCCAATTAGGCATTCTAAACACACTGCTGGGCGTGCCCGCCGAGTGTGTGCATCAGACCGGCGTTTGGCCCTGCAAGCTGAGCTTCTCCTGCTGGCTGCAGGGCGGCAAACATGCCAAGGGCTGCGGCAGCAACAAATGGCTATTCAGCTGCTGCATTGCCGAGCCGCCTCAGCATCTGCATCAATCGCCGCTGGAGAATCTGGTGGACTATGGCAAGCTGAAGATGGGCCTGACTAGTCTGCCCAAGCGCATTATGTTGCGGCGGCGCGATGATAACGACCTGCTCAATCTAAAGGTAAATGCTTTGAGTGGCTCCAAAGCAGCGATTACACTACACAACAAGGGCAAGTTGTGTAGAATATATTGCTTATAAGTGAATGTGAGTTCAGATAGAGAGATAAGAGTCGCAAAGCTATAAAACCATGTAGCAAAATCAATGAATTGAGTGCGAGATGCTCGAAAACATATTTTAATTAATGAGAGTTTATATAGAAAGTTGCTATCGTTAAGATACTTGGCGTTAAAAATATATCTAAACGAGAATCGGAAATAAATTATGGCTAAGGAAAGATTATAATGTGAAATGAAAGCGAGAAATAGGAATAGAAAGATTGTGTGATAGGGAGAGACCTCTAGAAGTTTTTAAAATTTATGAGAAGCACAGAGAAGAGTGCGCTCTTTAATATAATAAACTCAAAGGAAATTTACAAAACAGTTTTAAGAATTTATGAGAAACACATAAAAAGGTGCACTCTTTAATATAATGAATTTAAAGAAAATTATAGAATAGTTTTTATAATTTATGAAAAGAACATATAAGCTAATATTAATTAATAAAACCGTTTCTTTAAGTTTAGTAGGGTGAATAACCTCACATTAAATTCAGTAAAAGAGCCCATAGACATGCAACTGTAATTATATTTGTGGATGCATATGCCCTTAAGTCTAATATATAATAGTATTCCTTACCATATTATAGTAGAGTCTATTATGAAAGATTGTGGAAAAGTGCCTCGAGTCTGTTACAACAGATTGTGCAAGAGTTCTTTGAGGCAGCATAGCTATCCTGATGTATTTTTCAAGAGTTCATTTCAAAACTCATCAAGTGCACAGCGTGTGAGCCAGGCCAACAATAAGACAATTGAAAATATTTTTTATGGAAAAACTAGTTTTTCTGCTGTTGTTTTTGTTTTGTTTTCTGTGTCTGTGAATTCAGTGTGCCCAATGCCATCATCAATTATGCAGCTGCACAGTTATACATTATTGACTAATCAGTTTTCTTCTATTATTCCCATTTCCAGCCGGAATGTGGACTGCCGCGCATACCGCAGAACACGCTGCAGAAGCGCATCATTGGCGGAAGACCGGCACAGTTTGCCGAGTATCCGTGGCTGGCGCACATACGCATCGCGGAGTATCAATGCGGCGGTGTGCTGATATCGGCGAATATGGTGGCAACGGCGGCGCATTGCATACAGCAGGCACAGCTGCCCGATATAACAGTGTATCTGGGCGAGCTGGATACACAGAATTTGGGGCATATACAAGAGCCGCTGCCCGTGGAGAAGCACAGCGTGCTCCAGAAGATAATCCATCCGCGCTTCAACTTTCGCATCACACAGCCGGACCGCTATGATCTGGCGCTGCTTAAGCTGGCCCGGCCGACGGGTTTCAGCGAGCACATCTTGCCCATATGCCTGCCGCAATATCCCATAAGGCTGGTGGGACGCAAGGGACTGATAGCCGGCTGGGGCAAGACGGAAGCGCATATGGGTCATGCGGGCACCAACATGCTGCAGGTGGCCAGCGTGCCAATCATATGTGAGTACAGTGTGCACACCATTTGAGAGACACCCCACTCTATTTCTACTTTATTCTACGCACAGCCACCCTGGATTGCGTGCGCTGGCATGAGAGCAAACAGATCAGTGTGGAGATCAAATCGGAAATGTTTTGTGCCGGTCATTCCGATGGACACATGGATGCGTGTTTAGGTGAGCGAGAGAGACAGATAAGGAGAGCGAAATTCGATGTGGCATACTTTTAGGCGAAACGTTAACAGAGCGCTGTTAATGGCTTAGCAGAGGTGCGAGTCGATTAACAGACGTTCGTTGCGAAACGGATTTGTCTCATTTAGAAGATTTTGCAAGAGAATAAGTATTCAATTTTTTATAGATTTGACAGTTAATGATCTACATATATATCGTATATAAGAAATTTTACACATCTCATTGTTTATAGTTTGATATATGATAAATTAACACAAAGGATAATTTATAAAGCAGATTATCGAAACGTTAACACAGTCAAAAGCCATTATTGTTTATCAAAACTATTTGGTAACTTCCTTACCTCTAGCAAGTTCTAGAATAACAATTTAGAATATGAAAAGCAAAGTAAAAGTACATAATGCGAGCAAAGTGTTTCAAGTTTGCTTTCAACTATGCCAGCCCCAACTAAAACTACTCTCACTCATTTAGGCAACAAAAATATACCGCATATAAATCAAATTAATTGCCTTCTTCACAGGTGACTCGGGCGGTCCGCTGGTCATCAAAGAACATGGTCGCTTCGTGCTGGTGGGCATTACGAGCGCCGGCTTTGGCTGTGGCGTGGATCACCAGCCCGGCATCTATCACAATCTGCAGAAGAGTCTGCGCTGGGTGGAGGACGTGGTGGCGCGCAATGAGCCATAGGGCCCAGCAGCTACGACAAATCATGTGGCAGACTGAAATGGGCGCCCGACTCCTGACTCCCCGTGGATGTGGCAGCGCAATCTCATTAGTTTATGGCGTCTAACATTAAGCAATGGCCTGTGCAATGAAAATAGCAACAACAACAACAACAACGACAATGACAACAACTACAGCAATAATATTAACATCATATGATATTACAAATTACAATTTATTAGATATATTAAATATTATTATGTAGCTAATGTAAGTGGGTCTAGTTGCCTTATTTGTGTGGGTGTTTAGGTGGCACAACCGACGACCTTGAACGATGGTTGCAACTGTGCATTGGGAATTTTCAATTGGAATTACGCACTTTACAGCACGTAAAGCAACAATAACAATAACAATACAAATTTGCTTTGTTATGTCATTTGGCATTCGCTGTGCTGGCCCATTTCCCATTTAGTGTTCGCTGCTGCCATAAATGGCACAATCAACTGCTTTCAACTCAACAAACAACCAGCTACAACAACAACAGCAGCAACAACAACAACAAACAGAAAATAATCATAATTTGTACATTAAACACATTAAGACTGGGCCAGAGTCAGAGTCTCCAGTCGAGTGTCATCTGCCAATTGCCCAATGCTAGTACTTAAATTGTGTTACGTTTGCTTTGCATACCCTAGACTTGTCAGAAAAGGGTTACAAGGCTATGCTAAGCGTGTGAAAGTGAATGTGTTGACAAGCTGATAAGGTTTATGAGTGAAATATATATCTATAAGTAAATGTTTATGCTTGCTTTTCATTTAGAGCCTATAGAGGCGAAAGGAGCTATAAATTCATTTATTTGGGTATTTTCATTTTAATATATTGTAGAATTTGCAATGTTTATAATTATAGAAGCATAAAACCATGTTTGGCCATAGTATAAAATTAAATTCTTGTTTTAGAATTTTATCAGATTATAAATTTAGAAATTTATATTTATAAATAATTATATATTTTGA